AACTATTCTTTGTACTAAGTTAGGATAAAATCTACCTATTTACAAAATTTCATTCAAATACGTTCAGTAGTTATTGCCTAAAGGATATAATAACATACATCTATCCCCACTTTAAAATGTTTAATACATTTTGAATTTATTATACTGAATTGCTATTTATGAATAGATTTTGTCCCGCCATGAAAAAATAGATCCGATTAAACTTTTTTTTAAAGGAAATTATCAAAATGTGTTCACAGTTTGCTAAGATATCGCGCAACGTAAATAGTTTAAAATTAAATTAATTAAATGTTTTGTTTGCTTATAGAGGCAAGGCGAGGAAAGATATTTGATTTTTTGTTTGTTACGATTTAACTCAAAAACTACTTAACTATTTTTAATGAAAGCTTTATCTGTATCATAGGCTATTTTATATTTTCTGTAAAGATAGTCTATAATAAAAATATGTGGAAATAGATTTTAAAAAGAAACCAACTAATTGATAAAACATAACCAAAACTATTGTGTTAAAAAACATGAAATTTTACACGCAGTTTTCTTAGATAATATAAATTGGTACTAAAAAGAGAGTTTCTTGAAAATTGTGTATAAAGTAGATAAAGATTTCCGCGTGTGAAACTGCGAGAAACAGCTAGTCATAAATATTATCCTAATAAGGGGTAGCTTCCAAGCGATTGCTCGGCGACTTAGTGATCACGCAGTGTAATTAATAAACGACAATGTAATTAGACCCATAGAACCCACTTAAGTATAGCCAATTTTTCTTCCAGTAGCGTGTTATTTATATAGGGATCGAAGGCGGGACGAATGGGCTTCGACCCTCCTAGTTCTGGATTAGGAAAGTGTAATCCGACTTTTTTTCTCAGTCGATTTTTGCTGATAATGTCTGACCCTTAAGAAACTTACTTATAGACTTAGACAGTTAAGAGTATTTTTAAAATGTATTGTATTGTCTGTAGCTTTAACAACGAGGTTTATCTAATTAGGAAAGTAAAACGTATATAATCAGTTTATAATTAGAAGTATGAGTAAATTGAAGACACAATATACCTAAAATATATTCAAAAATAATGGAAACAAATTACTATTTTACAAAGATAAGTGACTAATGTTACCAAACGAAAAAAAAATTGTGAACATATCTGTAACCCAATCATGTTTTATGAAATTTAATATATAAATATACTTCCTAGATTGGCATTTAATGTGCATTATACAAGTATAGTACCCGCCATAACTAGTACAAAATATAAACAGAATTTGCCATTCGTATCGATAAAATTGTATAAAACGACAAAGATAAATTTAAATGAAATTTATTGATTTACACTTCACTAAGCAAGCAATTAGAGTTTCAATAGTATTTTTCCTCAATTCATAAGATACGCAGTCATGAAATAAAAGTGTTCAAATAATATATAGTTCCGTTTACCACGAATTATTGGAAGCCCCGTTTTTCAGCGTTATCTCCTTTCATTTACTTTTTAGGACAGTGACAAATTTGTCACTTCGGGACTGTTGTTACTGATTTATACGCTCCCGTTAAACGAATTCTGAATAACAAGTTGGAGACTTCGGAAGTAGTGTGAGTTGCTATAAAATATATTTTGGAAGTAAATAATATTACCATAATTAAATTATGCTCCACCATCATTATTTTTTTAATTGGTATAGTAGAGTATAGATAAATAAATATAATATACTATCTTTACAGAAATAAACAAGGTAAAACTGTTATGTATGTTAATATTATAAAGAGAAAATATTTAATTGTTTATAATGGATAAACTCTATTCAACCTATTTTAAAAATACTTTCATCTATAGAAAGGTACATTATTAGCGAGTACTAGTCTAAATATATATTTTTTATAAACATTCTGTCTACCCGTGGGGTGCTGGGCCAGATGGCTAGTAATACTTATTTATTTATACTTTTGCACACATTAAAATATGTCTACAGGGCGGACTTAATGACTGATGGCATTTTCTACCAGTCAACCGTTACGATAAACAGGGAAAGTAAATGGCGATGCATTGATTAAAAAAAAATGTAAATAAAAAAAATATTTTGTAAGATAACGACAATTTAAGGTAAATAAATATACAAACATTACAATAGAAATAAAACAACATACAAATTATATATGTATATCATTATTAACGGATTTTAGTGGTGAATATTATATAAAGTACCTTATGTGGTAATCTAAAATATGGCCTGATTATGTACTAAATTACATTCGATAATGTTTAGCCTTAATTGATTAACAAATAATCAAACTTTCCTATATATATTATAATTATAATATATTCGTAGAATAATTTCTAAATTCTCGCATAAATTTAACACATGGTAAATAAATAAATTTTAATTTACGAATGCGCAAAGATTGTAAGATATGGTACACGTGATGTGACAGACGGCGGCGCGTTGTCTGTAAGCACAGCTTTTAATCATGCACGAAATAAAAACATGCGATATAAAAATATAACAACAGAAAATTGTAACCTAAATAAAAACACGTCATATTGTTATATGTGTTTCGTACCATGAAAACGTATCAACGTGACAGAGTGACATTTCCATCGGTGGGGCGCGTTTGGGATCTCCAAGATTCAAGCATTCTGACGATTAAACTGTCACTCACATTATCTAATTCTATTTGATACATTGGTACAAAAAATATAGGTCAGGTACAAAGTTACCTGGGAACCCAGGATTAAATACCGGCCCAAATAATTCATGAAATGATTTTCACTTATTTCGTACTTTAGACGGTACGTGGAGAGATCTGGTAAGCCACGTAAGAGGCCTTCGTGAACAATAAAGGCGGCTTAAAACTCTTGGCGCGGAGGGCCGCAACCTTTATGTCATTTAAGTAGTACTACAGTGACTGTTGCATTTTTCACATGACTTTATCTGTGTGAATTAGAATAGGTTATTTTCGTTGTGTCAATTTAGGATTGATGATTCTTTCCAAAATTTTATTCAAATTTGTTAAGAAATTGTGTGACAAATAACTTTACAAATTATTAAAAGAATGTTTAAGTTACTTATAAAATATAAGTAAATTAAGCATTAAAAATACAAAATTTTATAACTTTTTTAATAAAAAGTCTACGATAATATAGCCCTTTTAACTGTGTATTAAAATGTACAAATAAAAATATATTATATTATTAGAAAAAAAACCATCTGTTAAGTTCTTGAAAATATATCAGTTAAGAGTACCTGTAATGGATTTTTTTAAGATGCTGCCTCTATACTCATATATATCTATGGCCCATCGCACAAAGCGTCGATTGTCAAAACAAAACACACCCTTATAAAAGTAATCCAAAAGGAAAACGAAACAAAAATAGACTTTGTGACATTGTTAATTCTGGAATAAAAGAAAATGTGAAATGTATTCTTTCTTAATAGGTACTTAAGTTTGGTGATTAATTTACAATAAATTCATCATGATAATTAAATTTTCTCCTGTTCCAATGGATGTTCACAAAAATATTTTCCTAATATACGCCTACATTAAGCAGAAACCATTATGGAAAATTTCCAGTAAAAATAGGTTTTATGGTTATGAAAATATTTGCACTAGCCACCTGCTCCGGCTTCGCATGGGTGTAATATTTGTTTATGTAACTTTTATACAGTTAAACATATTTTAGTAAGGCTGATATTTTAGCGAGCGTGAAAGTACGCCACTAATAACCATCTTTAACCACTTTTCTTCACCAGATTTTAAATTGAACGGCCTTTTTAGCAATTTCATGTGCGCGCGTTTACATAGTTTTCCTGCGGCTCTCACCTCCGCGCCCCGCCTACTTTTTCGCACAGCCAGCGGCGGCGACAACACAATAATTTTACCGGCTTATTGTTTTTATATTGCATTATCTTTAACCAACTGTTAATGCAGTTGTTAATTAATATCAATATGCTGTAAATAATAAATTTTACCTCTGTAAAACTTCCGTTTTGATTTAGCTTTTTGTTTTTATAAGAATTTGTAAAGGGTACGTGACATTTATATCCAAACTCAGCGTTATAAATTTATTTAACATTTATGTTAAAAATAAAACAAAGGTGGTTCCTAAACAATCTTTTTTGTTTATGTCTATATACGATACTCGTGAACTATCCATGTTTATAAAGTGTCGTGGACTTTTTTGTAAAGCTAAAATTAATGAATATTTCTGCTATACATTTTTCTTTATTTTCTTTATTTCAAACCGTTCAGGCAACGCATGCAGTATTATAAAATTTTTACCTACTTCAATTACATTTATTGTGATTAAATATTGAAAATATATATTTACCAAAATAAAAAGTAATCTATAGCACTCGAGGATAATATATCTTTCTAACAGTAAAAGAATTTTTCAAAATTGAATCCGTAAGTACCGGACATTACTTCTCATTCATTCATTACTTCGAACATTCAAACTCACAATTCTACGTCATTATAATATTAGTATAGATAGTATAAGTTTTAAATCTATATTCTACTAATCTTTAAATTTAAAATCAATATTTATATTTATTTATGATGAACATTTCAAACTAATAATATATTTTTTACTTGTATTTGAGAATTTTATAATTTCAAATGACAAACAAGCTGACCACCTGATGAAAAACGGTAACCCTCGTCTATACAGACGAACAGCATTATGGATATTACAGAATGATACCCTCGAGAGGCAGACGACTTTTGTATAGTGTCTTTCTGGTAAAAGTGGTCATAAATTATCAAATTCATGTATAAAATTCAAACACGCAATAATTTCAAATATTTACTCGAGAATAAATCCCCCGAAATGCATAAGCCCCAAGAATTTTTATTGTTATATTCATATTTTACAAGCGCTTGCAAATCCCTTGCAAGTCTGCGTCACTCTCCCAATGAAATAAAGCCACAATAAACGCCACGATACATTGTACCACCTACATTTACGAGAGACGAACAAACATTATGCAAAGTACAAAATCCCATTTACCACGTGTTCCATTCTCGGCTTCGTCACCCTCAGCAGGCCTGAAACAACGTAATAGACTTGTTTATTATATGGGAAGTGAATTGGCACCCTTCGATTTTCTCCTATTTTTTAGAAATTCACGCCAGCAAAAATCTCGCCCTTTGTTTCACTAACATACGCTCGTAACTTTATCGTGTTTCTTTTCAGAAAAGTTTATGTACACATCAAGTAAATATTTGGATAGGCAGGAAAACAGGAGAATAAATTTTGTGAAATATAAAGCTGGTAATTGCTTTATTCGTAACTTTGCCTCTGTTGACAAATTCTAACAAGTGCTAGGGCATTAAAAAGTTATCACATAAAATTCTGTTTTATGAAGGTCGCGCGAGACGAGTTTTACTAAACAACTCTAAAATCTGCAAGCTTATCGATAGAACTGGTAACGAGTGGGCAGAAACTTTACGCTACTGCCTTTGTAGTGAAAGTAATATTCGCCATGCCCACATACCAGCGAGAGTATTGTTATTTAACGTGGTAAAGGGCAACATAATCTATAGGGATTGTATACGTATACTTATGAGTCAAATGAATGACTTCATCTTTAGTTGTATCGACGACTTTGCCTGCGTGTAATCAGTACTTAAAGTAGCACTTGTTCTTTTACATCTAAAATATTCTATATACGTGTATATACATAATCTGAGTGTCAAATTTCATAAAAATTCATTGAGCCATTAAAACATTAACATTTTGCCGTTTATAATATTAAGAAGATTATTAAGGATTACAAAGAAAAAGATGTTTAGATATTTGTATGTTTGTTACTCAATGACACTTTAACATTTTAATATATTTGTTAAAGTGCCGTTGAGTAAAAAATCAACAACAAAGGTAAACAACATCCTAAATTAATATATATAATATAATTATAAGAAAAGCTAAATATAAACTGTCGAATATAATTCACTATTTATTAAAATTTATTAGTGATATATAGTTAAAAATAAGTCAATTCAATAGTAACAATTCTAGAAAGAGATGTATGGAAAAAAAACGAAAAGTATTCATAACAAATAAATGTCTTGGTATTTGTTTTGAATGAATACCTGAGGTGAGATTGTAATTATATACATACATTTATAGTTTTCTCTACTTATAATCTACTAAAAAGTCCTGAATCACGAAATTCGCTGTTTCGTTCATTTCTATAAAAATATGTTGACAAAAATTGAATTGGCGAGTAACGTCTACAAAAACCTTTCAGTGAAAGTGGCGTGATAGATAAATAAATTTCTGATAATATCAGTAAAGCACTTTATTATAACGCCAAGTTGCGTCGCATTTGAGTAGGTTTAAAATATAATATTAATCTGGTATTAAAAATACAACTTGTATACAAAAACAGACCTTGTTTCTATTATGTTATTTCGTATACTTGAAATCTTTGCTAACGAAGTTATTATAAAATCACAAAGCTAATTAGATGGTGCATATTAATAAACTTAAACTTTTAAAATAATTTGAATTTGCTGAAAAAGTAATTTGAATAAGGTTCACGGTTCGTAGACAGCTTAAAGTAAGGCTATGACGCAGTCATGATGGAAATAAAAAGTATTCTGAAGAGGAGAGTAATTAAGATGTAAATTTGGTAAAATTGCGATGGAATACAAATAGAGATTGTGGTATTACAACAAAGTACTTTGTGAATCATGCGTGCATAAATTGTTTCAGTTAAGCACTAATATATCAAAGTATAATGTTCACACTTTTGAATTGAGGGCGTTGTACTTACGTCTTGAGCAATGAACTTGGACGATTAGGAGAATTCGAGCGTTTAATGTGAGGAAAACCACACAATTAGTTCTAGTTTGTGAGTCTATGTCCCTACAAAGCGATGTACTCGTCAGAGTGATATGGTAGATACATTATATAGATAACTGGTATTGGTTAAGTACATGGTATAAATAATTTAGAGTGCAGTTTTTTTTTTGTTATGGTTTAATTGATTTTTTTAAATTTGTTATACAAAAAAATCTTTACAAATAATATTAAAAATATTGAGAAAATAAACGAAAGATGAGGGAATAACTTTAAATATCACCTAAAAGACTAACTGTAGTTGCCAACCCGCCTGTCAAGCGTGGCAACTATTGGCAAAACTCTTCTAATTGAGAAGGACTATGTTTAGCAGAGGACAATTGACGATGATTGAAGATGATGATGATGAAGGATAAAAAACACAAGAAAACAATAAGAGAGAGATAGTTTTATTATCATGAATTATAAAATCCTATATTGCCTCATTTTATATAAAAAATATGACAGTAAAATCAGTATCTATTTAAAAGTATGCGGCTAAAATTATATGGGACCAATACAGCAGTAAATCCTTTCAACTGAAAAAAGAATTATGAAAATCGGTTTAGAATTGGGAATGTAATCGCGTAACATAGCCACATGAAAAATCAGATGAATTGAGTATTTCCTTCTTTTGAAAGTCTCTTAAAAATATGATGATCGCAGCTCTTTTGATTTGTTACTTACTCCGTACTTTTTTTCTTAACATGAAATTTCTTACTAGAATTATAATATATCTATATTCATATTTAGAATTTCATTTCTATTTTTTATACAACTTAGAATGGCAAACATAATGGCGCACCTGATGGATAGTGGCAATTGTTGCCTATAAATATGAACGGAATATCGTATGTATTGTTTTGTGTCATATACAGACTTGAAGGAATTTCGTTACCACATTTTGTATGCATCGTATTGTATTCTGTATGCATTACAAGTTATACTATAACACTTAGAGTTACTGTCGCATTACTGATATACATATTCGTATTATATCAAATTGAAACAACGCTTCAATTTGTTTCCATTGTCGGTTTAAAAAGTTGGGAATCAACCAGTGCAATATCCGCTCTCTGTGATACAGCTGTGGTGTATTTTTGTGGAAACAAAGAGTCAAATACTGTTTCATGTGAATCCACTGGAAAGCTGGTACAAAACACAGAAGTAAATAGATTAGAGTAGAAGCTTTAGTCAGTCAGTCTTACGGGAATGCACGATATACGATAGTGTTCCAGATATGTAAGGGTTATTATTTTTAAGCGTGTACTGTAACAGTGCATGGTGACTTAGCTCGCTGTCCCTGGTAATGGTAATGGAAAAAAAAGATTTGAATCATTGCGCATTTATTTTACTCATCTTTTTTTTTAAAACAAAATTACAATCATTATTCATTTCTTATCTAAAAAAATTAAATGAATTATAATATCAGAGTGCTCCCCCTACAGAGTGCTATAAGAAACGATTCCGAACCACCTGCATCCACTTACTACATTTGAGGTCGTCATTTCATCTAGTAAAAGGAAGTTTTACACTACGTTTTTTTGTACTAACTCGACAATCAAACCCTTTCTTTCCTACTGATAGTCAATTCTTCCTTCCTGAAACTTTTTCGACTTGCTAAGCAATTTGATGTTTCTGCTTCAATCATGTTTAAAGATGATTAAAACCGATCGTCACAGTTGTAAACAAGCGGTATAGTTAGCTATCCCTATTACGAATGAATATGGCAATACCTCAAGACCATGTTCCATTTTTAATTAATATTTTTTTATATGCTTCGAAAAATAAATTTATTTTTTAAAGCTAATAACGTGTAGAAACCTATAATTAGTCTCATAAAAAAGTTTCTTCACTAAAACATATTACAGTACAGTACATTTTATAGTTTGTGAAATCAGTGGTTAATACGCAACCATTTTGATCAGTTAATATTTTTGTATTTCATTTGTTAACCACTCCGCCAAAACCTTTTTAAGTATAAATCCTCCTAACGTAATCATATATTACCAACCAACCAACCAGGCCAACCTGCTTGATGACAGATAGTAATGAAAAGGCAAGTCAGTTAGCTCATCGTGATGAATATGGAACCTGGAATTCATGATTTCCAGGGAGGACTAAGTGGAAATCGAATTAACAGGGTATATAGCTAATTATGCAACTGTTAGTTCACATTATTAACAATCCCTTCCCTCCCCCCAACCCCCTAATTTATATTATTATTGTGAAATTACCCACTGGAATTCAAGTCCAGACATTATGACATATATTCAAGTGAAATAGATTGTTATTCTGCGTATATAAGTTAATCCTACAGATCGGTTTTATAAATCAAATAGTCTTTATAATGAAATATAATTTATTTTATATCCGCTACTTTTTAAGAATATACGAGTAAATATTATTGCAAATATAATAAAATATTAATAAAAAAATTATAAATTGTAAAATATTAATGTAAATATAATTTAAACTTTAATGTTCTTTAATAAATAAGTATGTAGAAATAATTGATTGTTTATACATAATAGTAATAAGCAATAAGTAGATATTTATTATTTAAATGTTATTTAAAACGTTAAGCTGAATTTGAAGTAGTTCGAAATGAAAAATCCTTACTGGCTGATTCATCACTGTTGAACTAAAACTACTTACTGCAGTTCTAAAGACTAAGTTTTTGTATATGTTTTGACTTATCTAGACATACATATATCGACCAAATAGGCGACGTGCTGAAGAAGGGCCAAATTAAAAGTACCCGTAACCGGCGAGCATGTATGAAAATATTGATAAATGTGAAGGAAGTGAAAGAGGCTTGTTCGAATCGAAGCAATTGGCGTTCCATTGTTTTTGCCTACCCTAATGGCAGATAGGCGTGACAGTTATCTATGTGTGTTTTGAGTTATTCAAATTGTATGTTATTACGATAGAATATTCTGTCATAGTCTTTGATGAACGAAATAGTGGTGGGTTACTAGTTTAGTAAAATACCACGACAGTCACAAACACTACATTCTGCACTAAAATATAGCATTAAACAATGTCAAGTCTGCTACAGCAGAAAGCATTATGCAGTCAAACACTGAATTTTCTATTTACATACAAACATTAAAGTCACAAATAATTTTGCTTCACAATTGTATTACTTCTTATATTAAAATTTAGGTAACACATAGAAATATTTATTATTATATAACATC